GCCCCGCAGCACCGGGGCTCCAGCCGGGCCGTGCGGGGAGATGGGGCTCCCGAGGCAGCAGGGCCGAGCGGCCCCACGGCGGGGACAAGGAGAAGGAGGAGGATGAGAGAAGGCAGATCCTGCCTTCCCTGCTCCGGCCGGGGCAGCCACCTGCGGGGCGGGGGCGGGAGCGGTGCCCGCACATCCTCCCCGCCGTGCCTGCCGGGCAAAGAGGGGTCCGAGGGGGCACCGGGAGGGTTCCCTCGCCGCCGACGGGCCGCCTTCCCTGCAACAGGCGCTAATTGCAAAAGGTCAATTAAAAGCGAACGAGGCAAGGTGATTAATGGCCCTTTCGGTTTCAAGCGTGGGCCACGGGCTGGGCTTGCCCGGCTGCGAGTGTCCCACCAGGAGAGAGGCTGGCGAGGAGAGAGGTTACGGCTCGGGGTCAGGAGGTTCTCTAAACTCCCGCTGCCCCCTCGCAGCGGGACCCTTTGCAGAAGTAAATCAATGGCTCTGGTAGCTCCGAGCGGTGCTGAACCGCTGATGGACACGGGAGCGGGGCCCGGGAGAATCCCGTTCAGCAGGGACCCCGGCCCGAGCTGCTCTGCCTGTTTCCTACGGGTGTGCGGAGGCTGGCTGCTAATTAGGGGGGACCGCTAATTTCCGCCGAGCCCTCGCAGGTAACAGCGCCATCCGTCAGAGGGGGAAAGCAAATAAACAGCGTTTAAACACAACAAAGCGAGGGCTCCAAAGGACAGGGCTGCGTGGGTGCGGGCTTGCGCCGCGTGGGGAGCGCAAATCCCACCGGTGGCAAGCAGCTCCGGCTGGGAGCTGTGTCAGGAGGGAAAGGGTTAAAAATGCAAGGCCGGAGGGGTCAGGTCCCGGACGCGGAGCCAGCAGCGCTGCGGAGGGTGCGGATCCGGCCCCCGGCAGCGGAGCGGACCCCGGGCTGAGAGGGGCCGGGGGAGGCGAGGGGCGGGGGCGGGATGCGCTGACCTTGGCCGACAGACAGAGCAGAGCCACGGAGGAGGGACAGAGCGCAGAACCGGCAGCCCTCAGCCTCATCCCGCTCCGGGACTGCGCGGGCAGCGCGCTCCGCTCCGCTCCGCACCCGCGGCCGTGCGGTGCGGGGGTCCCCGCTTGTCCTGCAGTCCCCCGGGCCAAATCACCGAGGGCCGCGCGTCCTCCGGAGGGAGAGCCGCTCCCCGCCAGCCGTCCCCCAGCTTTCCTTCAAAAAAGCCGTAGAAATCCGCCCGAGTTTGCAATTCGCCACCCGAAATCCACGCTCCCTCCCCCACCCCTCTCAGTTATTTAATATAAAATGTATTTTTGAATACATGCTCGGATAGCATCTCGCCAATATTTATATTTCCACGTTGCCTGGCATCCACTGTCCCACATTAGACTCTGCCTCTCTCTCCCTCTCTCTAATCCTGCCACTTTAAATAGATGAATTAATAAAGCAAATGAGGGTCTAATAAGCTGACTGTCCTGCCTATTGAGGCAGGGGGAGAGAGACTAGAAAGTGCGCCAAATTTGTTTGCAGTGGATCAAGGCTAGCCGCCTTTGCTTCACTTTCTTTATCTTAATTCCGACTTGAAAAGATATAATTATCTAGTTTGAACAGAGCTGCTATCAAATCCTTCTCTAGGCAAGGCAGGGGAGAGCTGGAGTGGATTGCAGTGTTCTGAGCCGCTTGGTGCAGCCGGAGATAGGGAGTAATGAAGTTGTGGAGTCCTGAGATACAAAGGGCATTAACCTCATTAGCATGAAACCTTTTCTTCTAACCATTGTGGGACCCTTTCAGACTCCTAATCCCCCCTATTTTCAAAGCTGGGTTTGTAATAAAGCTTTTAGGGTTTTTTTTCAAAGCTAATGGCATTCTCTGAAGATTTTATTGCTGTTACGCTACATAGGACGCTTAATTTTTTTCCCCCTCTCTCCCTCTCTCTTCCCTCACGGTTAAAAAAAAAAATAAAAAAATAAAAAAAGTGGCGTGGGGGGAGAAGTATATGGTTCCTGCAGAAATAAGCCTTTTATCAAGATGGGTAACAATTTCTAGAAAGGCCCAAGTCTGCTGTTCGGCCGCAATCCGTTTAATGTTTGCCCATTTGCCCGGGTTTGAAGTGGAGAGGGAGGCAGCTTGGCGAGTTCAGGGGAAATGTGCGTCCTGCTTGGCTTCCAGACCTGCACCATCAGCTGCTCGAGGAGGGAAGAAACGCGACGAGAAGTTTGCCTTGGGAATGGCTCTACTAAATAATTAGCCTAGGTTTAAATGGAAGGGACTGCATTGCGACATGCGTCCTAACCCTGACTGGGCCTCTCTCATATTTGTAGCGCAAGTGAATGGAAAGTCACCGGGATTGTATAAGAAGAGATGCTAAAAAAAAAAAAAAATAATAAGAGCGGATATTTTTTTTAAAAATTAAATTTACATAGTACCCGATAGAGCCAACACGTGCACAGAATGTCTAATCTTAACTTTTCAAGGCAGTATGTTTAACAAAGCTCGTATTTTTGCGATGCATTGTAACTTCGCCTTATCACAGTGTAAAGGGTAGTCAGATTGTCCTAAATTATGTCCAACTAGCCCCCCTGGATCCACGGATTAAGAGATTAAAGGAGACCACTGGGCAATGCCTCCTCTTTCCCCTTCATATTCCTGGTATGATAATTGCCTAAACTGATTTGCACTTTCACAAAAGCTTGCAGGATTCTTTGTAGCTCGAACAGAGCAGACGAGGTTTCTCTATCAATGGAAATAAAACTGATTAATGCAGTCTATCAGGCTAAGGAGCAAATGAAGCATGAAAAAACAACTGTGTACCCCCAGAAAACCAGCTAGTTTCCTCAAGGACCCAGAGCAACATTTCTTTTCTTTTTTTTTTTTTTTTTTTTTCCCTTTCCCCCACCTCTTTAATGTCAGAGTTTTACTGTGTACAGCCCAGGATCGCTCCCTGAGCGCGGCTGGGGCGCAGCTCTCAGGAGCTGTTCCTCACCTCACCGACCTGGACAAGGGATGGAAAAGATAGGGAAAAAGACCAAAAAAAAAAAAAATCCTCTGTCTCTGAATAAAACACATATTTTTGCCGGGGAAAGCCTCTCCCGCGGCTGCTGCCGGCCAGTTTCACCATCACCAACCGGTCCGCGCTTCAGCTTCTAAGCAGGGAAGGGGCTGGGTTTCTCCTTGAGGTTTTTGTTTGGTTGGTTGGTTCTGTTTCGGGGCGTTTGGGGTATTTATATACAGCAAGTGCGCCTCTGCGGCTTATTTTTAGAGGTCTATTTAGCAGCCAGAGAATACATTAAGAAAATGCGCCTATGGCCGCAGGAATGCGCGGCGCGGCCGCGGGGGTTCAGCAGCTAAAAACAAGGCGGTGTGGGGGGAAACCATCGGTTTCCGAGAAATTTGGGGGTGAAAGGGAAAAGATATTGCTTTAAAAATTAGGGCATATTGATAAATCTTTATTGACAAAATATTGACAATGACATACTTCTTGGAAGTATATAGTGTGTTAGAATTCTAACAAATTAAACACAAAACACAAAAATATTTACATTCTGGTATAGGAGACATGAAGGAAACATTTGTCACTTTTTTTTCTTTTTTTTTTTTTAGTAGCTCTATGATCTCGGAATATTATAAGGTCAGTGCTTGAAAATTGACCCAATGAAAACGGTCATTAAGGAAAAAAAAAAAAAATCAATCCGCGATTTTAAGTCCCTTTTCTCTGGATCCTCCCAGCCTAGAAGGTGTCCCCACCGCCAAAACTGGTCGCTGGGTTTGCGCTTTGTAAATCTTATAAAAAAAAGTAATCATCATCCGGTTTTGCAATGGGGTACAGTTGGGGGGAGGGGGGGAGATAATTCCATTTGATTTTTTTTTTCTTTTTTTTCTTTTTTTTTTGCAGCAAAAGTTATGACCAACCCCAACCTCCCCCGCCCCCCCGCCTTTCCCTCCCGTCCCTCCCCTCCCCACCGTGTTTGTCCATCCGGAAGGAACACTATGCTTTGTTACTGCTACTTCATTTAGCTTTCACAAACACTTTGACGCCAGAAGTTATTATAAAATGTTTACAGACTGCACATTTCTCGTAAAATAAAATTAAAAAGCACACAGAACCTGTCTTAAAGGGAAAAAAATTACAATTCATTTCTGTCTTTAAGAACCGGAGTAATTTTTTTCCGGTTTTTTTCCTTTTTTTTTTTTTTTTCTCCCCAGACGGCTTTACACATGCAATTCAAGTTTCTGAAACAGGTGTGGGTTTTGGCTGCTTATGGAAATTTCTCTTTCAAAGACGGAAAAAACCGTGAAGTGCAAAATGTCCCGTAAGGTGTTAATTTTTCTGGTTTGGTTGGGGGCTTTTTTTTTTGCTTCTATTTTTTTTTTCTTTTAAATTTTTTTTTCTATATATTTTTAATTTTTTTTTTTTTTATGTTATGCTTTTAAAAGTGGACTGCGATAAACGGAATACCTGTCAATCACCTCGTCCCGGTGTTTTGGCTTGGATTGACAGATCCCCTTTGGCAGAGCGGTGCCGGCAGTGCCACAGTTCGGAGCCCTCGCTGGCTGCCCTCGCTCGCTCCCAGCTCCCTCCCGGCTGGGAATCGCCTTTGGATGAAGATCTCCGTGTCCTTCCCCGCACCGCCACGCCGCGGGGGTGGGGGGGGTTAGGGGGTGAGCCTTTAACACTTTCGGTTGGTGGGGTGCTGGCTTGGAAAAGTCCAAAAGTGCCAGTTTTTAATCGTCCGACGTGACGTCGATTTCCTCTGGACTGGCTTGTTTGGTGGCGATTCTCCACCGGTTAATGTGATGAGTCCCTTTTTTCTTCTGTTGTGAGTCTGAACCTTCCTCTTCCAACTTTTGCCGCTTGAACTTTGTCCGTCTGTTCTGAAACCATACTTTTACCTGCGGGAGGAAAGGCACCGGGCGTTAATCCGACGCCTGCCCGGACTAGGGGGATGCTTCGCTCCCCTCCTGCTCCGTGCGCCACCGGGGCCGTGTCCTGCCCGCAGCTGTCACCCAGGCCAGCCTGGCGTGTCCAGCAGAGCCGGGACCCCGCTGCCCCCCAAATCTCCGCGGGAAAAGCACGGGCAGGCTGCCCCGGGCTCCCCGGAGCTCCCGGTGCTCGGAGCGGCAGCACCGCCGGGGATGCTCCGTGCGCGCACCCGCAGCTCCCGCGGCCACGCAGCCCCGAGCAGCGCCCAGGTAGCCCACGCTGCGTGGAGCTCGCCCGTGGGCCGTCACCTCGACGGCCCCGCCGCCCGAAAAGGCTCCGGTTCCCCGCTCCTGGCGGGGATCCCCCGGTTCCAGCCCCGGGAGGCCGGGCCGGCCGCGGGGCTCCCACCTGCCCGGCCCCCGTCCGTTCTAACGGGGCACCGGGATGGGCTGCGGGGCAGACGCATGGGTTTGTTTTTTTTTTTCCTCGTGGAAAAGAGAATAAAATGTACAAAAATGCCCCGAATAGAAAAAGGTCCGTCGCTCCCCGCAGCATCTCCCTGGGACGCGCCGTCCAGGAGCGATCGCGGCGCGGTGGAAGCGGTAAGTGGCATCATAAATATCCCTCTGATTTTGTTCAGCGCCGCGTAAATCTGACCGAACCATCCGGCAGCTGACTTCAGTGCTTTAATTACAGATAGTATTGATCTGGGAGCTATCTCCAGGGCTGGCCACACTCCTTGTAGCGTCCAAAGGTAAACTTTTTTTTTTTTTTTTTTTAAAGCAATTTAAACTCTGGTTCTGTCTGAAAGTGCCTGATAAAGGCCTCAGCAAGGGGGGGAAAGGGAACTGGAGCATTTTAATAAGCTGGTTTAACCCGCTTCGCTGCCTCTTCAGAACAGAGACCTGACTGGCCGGACACACATCTCTGCTGCATTTTCATATTCTCCAAAAGTCCCCCATTAAAAAGCTGAGCGGGGAACAAGGGGTGAGTTTAATTTGCTTTTAGTTTGCTAATTGAAGGGGAGGACGGTTCATTTCTGCACGCTGATCTCCCAAAAGGGAGCTCATTTGTAGGGGACTGGGGGTTTGACATCCGGACAAAAGACCCCAACCAGCTTCGGAATCAAGCAGCACAAAGACCACCTTAAATACAGCTTTCCAGTAGAAATAAGCCTGTGACCGGTCCCTTGTTCGGGGAACCTCATAAAAGTGGCGATCCCTTTTTATTGTTTTGTTAGGGAGACATTTTAAAACAAAAGCTCCAACCCCTTTATTGCTTCCCCCACGAAAAGGAGTTAAGAAAAAAAAAAAAGTGTTACAACTTAATCCGCCCAGAGAACGCTGTGTTTACTGGGAACTTTGAACTAGGCTGCGGCTGGGTATTTTGGCTTTTTTTTTTTTTTTTTTTTTTTTTTTTTTTTTTTTTTTTTAGTACAGTGCCACATACTGTAGCAGAGACAATCCCCATCTGGAACACTCTCTCCACGAGTCTCCTGGAAGGGCACAAAACAAAAGCCCGACACAACAACAACAACAACAACAACTACCACCAATCCACCAATCCAGCAATCCTCCAAACTCCAGCCTTTCTTCCGGCGGGGAGAAAACCGCCTGAAAACCGCGTTCGCAGCGGCCCTGGCTGCCCGGCCGTCGGGGGGAGCCTGTGCCCGGCCCCGCCGCTGCTCTCGGCCCGTTCCGCGCCCCCCAACGAGTGCCGAGCCCCGGGACCTGCCGAGACCCTCGGCCCGGCACGACCGCGGCTGAAACATCGCCGAGCGTCCCGCCGGAGAGACCGAAAGCGGCTCCGGTGCGGTTCTGGCCCGCAGCCAGGCTGCTGGGGCGGGGGGAGGAGGGGGGGAGTGCAAGGGGTGAGGGGGGGATTCCTTGTGAGTAATTTCTCTGCTTTTATTTTTCATCTTTCTGCCCTCCTGAACCGGCTCGTCGCATCCCCTCTGTCGGCTAGAAACGAGCGAAAATTCATCTAAGAAACAGTGATTCTGCCATAGGGTCTAAAGGGGAGTTTCTCCCCCGTGCCCCCGCGTTTGTTTTGGGGGTTTTGTCCCTATCATGGAGCTCCTTCTGGAGGGTCAGAGCGGTCCCGCAGCAAAGCGAGCGGAGCCGCCGATCGCAGCCGCGGCCGCCACCGCCCCGCTCGGGCCGCAGCTCCGGCCGGGGCTGCCGGGGGACCCCAAATCGCGCCCCGGGCCGAGGCACCGCGACCCCCGGCACGGACCGGGACATCCCGAACGGGAAAAGGATTTTACGGCACTCAGGCTGGGGAGATCCCTCTCCCCACTGCAGAGGCCTAAACACCCCTAGAATTAATTTGCCTTTACCATTGCCCGGGTGTCGGCCCGGCCGGGTGGGTTTTCCAAAGGAGATGTCGGTACTTTCGCTTTCCCGGCTGCCCGTTCCCTGCTCGCCCCTTACCTGAGTTTCCGTGAGGCTGAGGCTGTGTGCCAGCTGTTTTCTCTCCGCTCCTACTACATAATGGTTCTTCTCAAAGGCATGTTCCAGTCTCAGTAATTGGGATGGGGAGAAAGCTGTACGGATCCGTTTGGGTTTCCTGGCCAGTGCATTGTGCAATAGGAAGCTCTCCGGGCTGGTTTCATTCCCTGGGAAACAGGGTAAAACAGATTAGTAAAACACTTTCCCCAAACGCATTCGACAGCACTTTTTAGGGCAAGAATTTTTGTCTCCCACCATTATCCTCAGGATAAATACAACTATAGTTTCTTTTTTTTTTTGTTTTCAGCTCCTTCTTTGTATTGAATTTTCCTTTGATAAATACATGGCGGGGAAGGGTAAATAAGCAGGAGCAGGAGAGGACTGGTATAAATTAAAATGCTAAAACACAACCTGGGGAACACTACAGAAAATAAAGCAGAATTAAAAAAAAAGAATTGGCCAGAGCACGGCTGCGGTGTCTGCGGCTACATCTCACGGCTGCCCCCCTGCCCCCGATCACCGGAGCTTCACGTCTTTCCCTATTTATTTGTTATTTCCATCTTCCCTTCACGGCCAGATGCTCTCGGGGCTGTCTGGCCGAGCCCCTCGAGTCTCCCTGGCCGCCCACCAGGCTCCGGGAGCCGCCCGCCTGCTCCCCTGGCCTGGCTCGGCTTCCCTCGCCCAAAACTTCGGCCGGAGCCTTTCTCCCGCCGCTTCCCTTCGTTGTGCCGGTGCGCTGCCCGCAGCGGGGCTCCCACCGCCGCCTTCCCGGCCCAGTGACCCTCCCCGCTGCCTCGGCGGCCCTGGGAACCGGCGTGGAAATGAAGAATCAAACTCCGAGGAGGCCACAGAGCGGCCATCCCATCCATCCCATCCCATCCCGTCCCATCCTATCCCATTCCATCCCATCCCATTCCATCCCATCCCATCCCGTTCCTGCCGGCCTGCACTGGAGGGGGGCGGGAGAGGGGGGTGGTAAGCCGGGGTTTTTCGCTGGGCATTTCCCTCCGGGGTGCCCCTGTGCCGCTTCTCCGGGCTGGTCCTTCCAAAGTGGAAGCGGCACCGAGGGGCTCTCTCTGTAAGTGCTTTAAAAATCGTTGGAGGAGGAGGGTGTGTTTGAAATCAGGCTGTGGCTCAACACCAGGACATTTCCGCCTTTCATCTACCCCTCGTTACCAATCGCCTGGTGCCTGCGACAAATAATTTGGTGAGCGAAACCTGTAATTTTATTCTGAAAGGGTAATAATCCATTTTGTGTCTCAGACCGCCTGGCTTCGGAGAGAGCGGCTCCTTTTCCAACCTGGCTGCAGCGGCCCGGCTGTGGAAGGCCGGGGAAAATGCAACATGCAGGTGGTTTGTTTTCGTTCCGAATTAATAAATAAAAATACAAGGGAAAAAAAAAAAAAGTGCAGATGGATCCTTGCGAGTGGAGGCTGATTTGTTTGTTTGTTTGTTTGCTGGTTTGCCTATAATGAAAGTGGCAGAAGCCGGACCCATTACGGGAGAAATCGGCTCACCCCTCGGAGAAGACGCTGCCGGTTACAAAGGGTTAAGCAAGGGGGATTTTATTGATTGTCCGCCATTGGATTCGGTTATTTGGCTTCAGCTGGTTATTAATCGCTCGGCATTGGGAGCCCCTCGCTGACCGCACGGTCGGGATCGCCCTCCGCGCCCCTTCCCCGGCTGTCCTCCGCAGCCCCATCTCCCCGCGCTGCTCCGGCGCTGGGATTCATTCCCCACACACGCTCCCCTCCTCCTTTCTCTGGGGTTCGCTTCGTTTCTTCCCCTCTAAGGAGGGCAGGGCCGGACTTGGAGGGGCTTCCTGCGGCCCCGCAGCCCGGCGGGCACCGCCGCCTTCCCGGGGGAGCTCAGCCCCAGCGCCTCTCCTTTCCCCGCTCTGCGCGGCCGCTTCCTTCGGGGGCTCCTCTCTAGCTCTTATCACACCGGAACAAAAAACATCCACCTTTTCCTCTGCTTTTAACGGGGGCAGAAAGCTGACCAAGTCCCAGCCGGCCTTGCCTTCCCGCTTGCCCCCCTCTTCCCGGGAAGCCAAAACAAACCGGGAAAAGCAGCAAAACAAAACCAAGCCCCAGCCCCTCGGCTCTGACAGCTCTCCCAAGTTTGGCGGAGGGGGAGACAGGGACAAAAGACCCCGGGCCCGGCCGAGCCGAGCCTCCCGCTCCGGGCAGGGGCCGTCCGCCCACCGCCGTCCCCCAACATCCGCACGGCGGGGACCGGCCCGGGGCCGCCGGAGGATGCGGGGCTGGATCGGAAGGAGAAGAAAAGTTGCACGTACCTTGGAACCTGTGGCCCAGATACCGGTAGCGGTGTATTAGCCACGGGTAGAAGGTGGAGGGGTCCCTTTGCTGCGAGGCGAAGAGCGGGTGCGTGGAGTGCGAAGCAGGCAGCGGGTGGGCGGCCAGGGCGTGAGGAGGGGGCACGGGATGGACCGGCACGGCCGGGTTCGGCGGGTGGGAGACGGCCTCTGCAAAGACCAAGTCCGGGTTGGAGTAGACCCCCCTGCCAGTGGAGTGGAAGCCGTTGAGAAAAGGGTTCATCGGGCTGGAATTGGCATAGCTGAGCGCCGCCGGCCGGATAGGATCCTCGGAGCGAGACGCGGGCAAGGGGCTGTCTTTGGCCACCAGCGACTCGATGGTGAAACACCGCTTGGGTGTGGGCTGAAACATGCTGCCGCGACGAGAGTCCCCGACCCAATCTCTGCCCGTCTCTCTCTGGTGCGCGGGAGACGATCCGGGGAAGTTTGCAGCAGGGAGTGACTTGAGGAGGGATAGATACACACATAAATAGACAGGGGCTGGAGGAAAAGGAGGCAGCGGCAGCCAGCGGTACCCAAAAGGGAGACACACACACACACACGCACCACGCACACACTCACACAAAAAAAAAAGTTGCTGGGAGAAGTTTCCCTCCTGCAAGGAAAAGGCGGTCGCGCCCCCCCCCTCCCCCCCTAAGTCCAAAGACAATCCATGGATGTGATCGGCCCCTTCACAAGTTGTGCAAACGATTTGTTAGTTCATGAGCCTAATTAGTGCTGGGATCACATAAACAGCTTCCTCTGAAGCCTGGTAAATGGCTTGATGATTGGTCGCTATTACTCGCCTTGAGGTTGAAGGGGGAGACTCTTTAAAGTGCGTCAGAGGGGAGGCGAGCGCCGGGCAGCGCCATCGGGAGGGATGGAGCCGCGGATCGGAGTGCGGCGGGAGCGCGCCCGGCAGCGCGGGGGGAGCGCGCCGCCGCCCCCGCCCCGCTCCGCGCCCCTCCGCGGCCGCGCTGCCCTCCCTCCCTCCCCCGCCGCCGCTCGGACACCAAGGTAGGCGGACGGGGGCTGGGGGGGTGCGGGGGGCTCAGCGGGACAGGAGATGGGGGGCCCTGCATCTCCTCGGGTGGGGGCAGGGGGGATTTGTGCTGCTCCGCCAGCGCGACACCCCTGTCCCTGCCACCTCTCGGGTACTCTCAGCCCGGCGAGGTTACCTTGATCGGCCCCGGGGCGTCAGGGAGAGATGCCCCGCTTGGGAAAAGATTTCGTCCCGGTGAGAGAAGGGGTCGTCCTCCTGCTCCGGACTTATTTATTTCCCCTTGGCTCCCCCGCGCTGGCCGCACCGCGCGGTGCGGAGCACAAAGCGCAGAGCAGCCGCATCGTGCAAAGCTGGGGCACGCCGGGCTCCTGCACACGGGACAGGGGAGCGAGTCTCCGGTTCCAGCCTTGTCCGTATTTTCGCGTTTACCTTTGGGTCCGGAGATGATTTTAGGGCTGAGTTCTCCTCCTCCCATTGGCTGGAGCTGCAGAATAATTATGATCACATCCTAATACTCTTGGCTGGTGCTTACTGTTTATTGGTAGTTAAGGATCTATTATCTATTCATCAGCCTCCCATTTTTGCCAATTACATTCTTCTAAAGTGAAGTACCAGCAGGTATTTTGCACATTTACAATTAATGATAAAAAAAATCTGGCGTACTTTAAATCTATTACGCCGCTGTGTAATTTATCTTAAAGATGCAGAATTGCTAATGTAAATTAATGTTTCTGTTGAACCAAGGGATGGGGGGAGTCTTAAAACCAGTCAAGCGTTTCTTTCCTTCTCTCCCGGACGTTGTTTTCTATTTTCTTTCCACTTTATACGCTAAAAATCCGTTACTTCACTGCATTAAATTATGCTAAAAAACAAATCGCCGTCTAAATGGTTGTTTCCAGTAAAGGGCGAAGTGAATTATATTCTCCTTCCCCACTCTCTGCTAAAGGCATCTGTTCCCAGCCTGCCGATATTTTTAACACAATACCAAATCGAGGGGATAATATAAGTGACAAAACAGTGTTGGGCACGCAAAGATGAGGCTGTTCTTGCGCCTTTGTTCGAGGCCGTGTTTCCCTTTGTGTACCCCGCGCTGTGTGCACTTTGTGGAGGGAGAAGTTCACTTTCTGTAGGAAATGTAAATCTGATCTCCAGGCGTGGGGCGGCTGCACGTATAGACATCCCCAGCCACACGTGCGTGCGGGCGCAGAGCAGAGCGAGCTTTACACGGTAAAACTCAAGTCTTTGGGCAGATTTTGCTGCGAGGTGCCGTTCTCCCAGGTCTCACACGTTTGGGGAAACCTTTCCTGCCCGAAGACGCCGGAGCGCAGGACTCCGGCCCCGCTGAGCTGAGAGAGCCGAGCAAGGGAGAGAAGGAATTCCCTTCAGCCCCACTCGTGTCCCTCGTGAATCGCTGGTATCTGAACTTTTTAAGTCCCCTCACCCTTTCTCCGTGCAACTTCTTTTCCCCTCAAGCTGTGGTCGTTACGCCTCTTCTCGAAAAGATCTGGGGTTATAGACAAGAGCAAGGATGAGAAAGTGTCCTGAATAGGACGGGGGTTTGATGTGATGATTTCGACTGGGGTCCTTCTTCCAGACCACTGAAAATGAAGAAAAAAAAAAAAAAAAGAGAGAGAGAGAAACTTCTTCTTCTAGGAAGAACACTGTTCTGCATCTGCGTATTTACACTTCTTCGGGACTGAAGAATGAATCTGAATTGGAAAAACTTCAACTCCTTTTTTTTTGCCTTTTTTTTTTTTTTTCCAGACATCCTGACATAATCACGGGGCTCCTTTGAAAACTGCATCGAGTAATTTAGCACTTGGGGAGGGAGGAATTATATGCGTTTGAAAAGAAACCTCACACACGCAGAACCTCCAAAATGATCGATAAATTTCCCTCGACCTTCTCTACCGCCGGGGAAATATCCTTTAGCCTAAAATCCCTCTCCGAAGAGGGGTGCCGCTGTTTTGGAGCAGAACGGAGGAGGTTACGCTTGCAGCGGGGAGCTCTCCACGGCCAAGTCCGATTTTTTTCGGGAAAAGCGAGTGATCTCGGCCGCAGCACCCTGGAGGTCCGAGCCCTGCTCGCTGTCTGTGCTCTGTACATACGTACACAATTCTGTGTGCATGTCGTGTGTGTGCGCGGGGACACATCCAGAACCGCAAGCAGAGCCTGGAGAACACAAGCTTTCCCTGGGTTTTGTCAGAGATAAAACAGGCCGGGAGCAGTGAGAACAAAAACTAAAAGGACTCGGGAATGGGATTTCCCGGAATTTTCCTCTTCTCCCTAAACTTTTGTATCATTCTCGCACTCGCCGCCGTGGCCGTTTCTCGTGGGCGCCTCCCGCGCAGCCCCGGCCCCTGCTGGCCCGGCCACGGCCGAGCTCCAGCCTGGCCTGCCCCGGGAACACCTCCCGAAGTCCCTCTCTTGAACTTTTCCTGCCCAAGGTCTTGACAGGTTGCTCTCGCTGTCCTCTTGGCGTCTGCATGGAGAAAATCTGGCAGGGGCTCCCTTCGCAGCAATCCCCGATCTGCTCGGAGCGCACGGAGCCAGCCTCTCTCGGAGGGAGGGAGCGCTACACTCGCAGTCAAATTACATGGCAGGCACTAGCTCCGGATTTCCAAACTAATGCTCATCTTTTAAAAGACAAGCCGAGAAGAAATTGCGAGGAAGGTCTCGGATGCGGGGACCTCGGGGTAAGACGGTTGTTCATGGGCTAAACCAGGCTGAACTTTCGCGGATATTGGGGTGGTGCTGAGGGAAGTTTCAGCTTCCCCTTAACTTTGTTTTCCAGGTGAGATCTGTCTCCCCTTTTTTCCCTCCTGTCCCAGAGATTCATGAATACAGCAGGGAGGTGAGGTGACCTAGGCAGGTCGTGTCTGGCGTGGGGCTGAGAGGAGGAGAGGGTGAAATGCCTGATTTAATTATTTTCTGGACGCCCTAAACCCTACTCAGTATGTCTGAGAATCCTTCTCAAAGCGCAGTGCTCGGCAGGAGTGACGGGCCGGGCCGGGCCGAGCCCAGCCGCGTTCCCAGGGCCCGGCCCGGGTTCGGGGCTGGGGGAGAACCGGGGTCGGGCACCACGGCCTCCGCCGAGCAGGTGGATTCCGTTCGCAGCCGGTCCCGAGCAGCCGGAGCCACGCGTGGACAGGGCCTTGCTCCCCGCTCATCCTGGATTCCCGGGTGGGACGGACACGCGGGATGCTTCCCATGGACTTCCCCATCGAGGACACCAGCCCTGAAAACCTCACCCCTCTATTTCGGTCCCGCAGAACCGGGCCAGCGCTGGAGCCGCTGGGATCCCGTCTCAGCGGCAGAGAACCGGGACCGAGACTTGGGACCAGGAGCAGGAAAAGGCCTTGCTGCCCGTATTCCTCTCACCGACCCGGGAACAGCGATCGGGCAGGGTTGCTTTAGTTTTTTCGGGGCTAATTTGGGGCCCGTCCCCTGTCTCTGCCGAACCAGCCCCGCCGCGGTTCCGCGCGGTTGTTTTCGTCCCGGGGGCGTCGGACTCGCGGTTCCGATACACCGTCACTAACACGGGACTTCCGTAACCCGCGGCTTTACACGCGAAGCCCTAACCCACACCCATCCGTGCCAGACCTTTCAAACATCAACATGTGCGGGGGAAGGGGGAGGAAATACCCGCAGCTGCGTGCGGGCGCGGTGAGCAGCGCGGTACCGAGAGTGCGTGCGGAGAGGCCGGGATGAGCCGGGTCGAGCCGGGCCGGGCCGGGCCGAGCCGTTTGGGTGCTGGGAGCGTGCCCGCCGCTCCCGTCCCGCTCCCGTCCCGCTCCCGTCCCGCTCCCGTCCCGCTCCCGTTCCCGTGCCGGTCCCGCCGCTGCGCGGGGCGCGGGCGCGGGGCCGCGGGCGCGGATCCGCGGGGCGGCAGCGCCCCCTGCCGGCCCCGCGCAGCTCCGCCCGCCCGCGGTCCCGCCGCCGGCAGCGGATCCCCGGCGGGCCCGGCCGCTCCCGAGCTCCCCGGTGCCGTCAAAAAGCCACCAGAAGTATATTAAGGCTGCTTAATGTGTCTATTAATAAAAGGAATCAAGCCCTAAAGGGATTTTTCTTTCTTTGTTTTTTGGGGGTTTTTTTTGTGTTTTTTTTTGTTTTTTTTTTTGAGGGGCTCATTATGCACGCAGAAAGCTCCACGCGTGTGTAGTCACACACCTCCACGCACACACGTACTCCAAACCATCCCCGATGAGTTGGCAGAGCGCTTGATTTGAGCTACCCACTGAGGGACCAGCCCGTCTGAAATCTGTCCCTCCGGGGCAGCCACCGAACAGCCGGATCCAAACGCTGCATCCAGCCCCTGAACTTATTGCCACACTTTGACCAAAATCTTGGCTCCAGCCACGCCGTGGGCTGCGACTTCTCGTGCGTGATGCGGTACAAGCGAGAGGGCTTTGAAAAGGAGTCTTGTCTCTCCAGCCCGCCTGTCCGGTTGACCTGCGGGCTCTGTCCCGAACGAAAAGGTCCCGTGGGGACTCCCGTGGGCTCGGAAACGCTGGCTTGGCGGTGCGGGGCCGCACGCCGGTGACTTAAAGCCGGTTTCCAGCTGTTGAGTGCTGAATTCATGGCAGATACACGGGCTTTGCCAGGCACCGGCTACCTGGGCAAGCCCTGATTGTGTCAGCCACCGAGGCTCTTCCTTGATGAAAGTTCCTTACTCAGACTCACCAGAAAAAAAAGAAAAAAAAATTAAAATAAAACAAAAGAAAGAGCTAAAAGCAGAGGCAGAGTTGCAGGCCAGCCAGGGACTGCAGGTGTCCGCACTCAGTACACCCCGTGGGAAATCGCTCGTCCCGTATGGGAACGAAAAGGTGCCCAAACCTCCGCTGATGTGGAGGTTGCGTGGGAAGAACGTGCGGGAGATGCTCTCCCACCCGGTGCTTGTTTGTCTTAGTGGAGTACAGCGCATACCAAAGCAGAAACTCGGCTTCCACCGCACAAACGCTGCTCTGCACCTGGGTCAGTGCCCTGAGCGGGCCGGGGGGACGCGGGGGCCCCGCGGGTGCTGCGCGGAGCTGCCTCTCATTGCCGGCTCTTCTCCTTCCCCATCCCATCTCAGACCACAGCGTTCCCATCAGTGCCGCGCTCCTCTCCGCAGCCGCGGGGCTCCATCCTGCCCGTGTGTCCCGCGGGTCCCCGTCCTGCTCGGGTGTCCCGCAGGTCCCGCACCGCCGCCCCGGGAGCGGCCGGGGGAGGCAGAGACACTTCCCGGCGGGAGAGATCCCGCCCCAGGAGGGGCTGGAGCCACAAACTTCCCGAAACTTTCCTCTGCACCCAGCTCACCGCTGCCCGTTCGGGGATGGGGAAGAAGCGAGGAGAAGCAAACTAAATAATCTCTTCACAAGCAAAATTTTTGTTTCTAAGGGGAAACAGAAAACCACTATGTAATTTACCACGAGTTCGGTTCGGCACCTTTTGGTACTACTGAGATAATTTTAGTTTCTCGTTCAGACATTCAATTTTGTGAATCATTCAATTTTAACCCGCTCCTATGGAGCCCGATCCCGCGGACCCGACTAAATTTACTTTGCATTTCACGAAGAGTTTTTCTGGGCAACGGGGAGAAGGTCATCTCTATTTTCCAGTGCCTCCTGACCGGCCTTGGAGAGAGCCTGGAAAGAAGTTAGCTCTGCTGGGGGTCAGCTCCCTCTTCTCCCTTTGCTCCATGGTCAGGTCGGGCTTTGTTTTTTTTTTTTTGGTGTTTCTTTTCAAGTTGTGTTTTTGGTGGTTTTTTTTAATTATTATTTTTATTTTTATTTTTTAATTCTGTGTGTGTGAGTCCACTCTTGTCCATCTTTTGGGGAAATTTGAGTTTGCAAGGAGTAGTGGGCTTTTCAGAGTGGTTCTTTCTGCATCTCCCCACAAGCCCCTCCAGCCACCCGAGTTATCTTTCTCCTGGTGACCTGCCTGAGGCACAAAAAGTTCGCAGTCAAAGAGACCTATCAATTTCCAAGTAACTCTCCAAGCTTCTAAAATTTAGCGACTAAATATTAGCACATTGAAGTGTCATTGAGGACACCAATTAAAACGTATTTCACTTTAAAACATGCATTTTTCTCGAGGATCTCAAGTACATAATCGCTTGTAGCGCGGCATCCTGGAATACGAATAGAAATATCCAGCTTTGAAACGCATAACCTCACTGAATTCCTTCATTTGCTAATGGGTTCCCAAATATTCAAGCTCACAGGGATGTGCGCGCTGTGGAAGTCATACACAGTGTAATAAAACAGAACTCCTAAAGCAAAATTAGCGGTTCCAGGCCTCCGAAGCCCGGGGTTGCTTTTTTTTTTTTTTTTTTTTTTTTTTTTTTTTTTTTTTTTTAATACGCATAATGTATGTCAAACATAGATATGGGGGCTTTGCTTAAACTCGGTGTGTGATTCCATGGGGCTGCCGCTCTGTTATCTTGCTTCCATCCAACAACTTTTTTCCATAGATTAGTTCCAAACTAAGAGTGCTTTCACAGACTAATTTTTTTTTTGTCTTTTTTTTCCTCCCTGAAACGGAAACAAAATAGAGAAAAGTATTTTTTCGGAGTTTTAGAAAACTTCACCTCGGTGCAGTGCACAGATGAGGGGATACCTGGGCAGAGGTGCTGCCTTTCCTTCTCTGGCCATTCCCCTGGGGTGATGCAGGTCGCTCATGGCTTGTCCGGCTCTTCTCGCCGCAAGAACAGCGGGAAAGGTCAGGCGGTCGCGGGGAGTCCCTGCAGCCGCCGGATCTCTCCGCCAGCACCCAAAACCAGCCCCCGGTGCCAGGGCCGGGCTGGAACAGCGGCTGCCGGGCAGGGACCCGGTTCCTCTCTCCTCTCTCCGGCCCTGAAGGCTGCAGGAGTATCAGCCGAGAATCGAAAGTGACCCCCTCCCCCGACTCCTGCCAGGTCTGCGCTGTTTGATGCTGCGATCCAAAGAAAGTCTGAACTTCAGCGATAATCTTCTCCATATGGGCAAAGAGAGCGCGCACACGGCGGTTCTCTCCACAAATCACCTACCTTCAATCAGTTTTCACTTTCCACAGACTGTTACAGGGGGAATAAATAAAATGAAAATGAAAAGAGAGAGGGGGGAAAATGGTATGGCAAAGCAAGTGGTTTTCTGACCGCAGGTCGGAAAAAGCAACCGGTGTCTCACCGGCGAGGGGCGGGCGCGCTCTGCCCGCAGGCTCCGTCCGAGATCCGCGGGTGTCCCGGAGAGGGGATGCTCGCACAGCTAAAGCAGCGGATGGCGGAGGCAGAGCAGGAGCCCGGACCTCCCTGTGGGAAGAAGTGCGTGCGGCTGTCAGGGGTCTGCTCCGCAGGCAGCGCCGATGCAGAGCCTGGCTGCTGCAAATCTGCTCTGCAGCTTCCCCGCGCCCCAGCGCAGCGCAGCCAAGCCAAGGAGAGCGTTGTCCGCAGCTTCCCGCAGCTTCCCGCATCTCCCCGCATCTCCCCGCAGCTTCCCGCACGGGCAGAGCGGAGGCACCGCGGCGGGCAGGGGCAGGATGCTGGCGAAGGGGGCCGGCGGCAGAAAGGCAGAAAGGCCGCCTGGTCTGCGCTTCCCACCTCCCCGGGAGGTTAGCAGGGGTGGCTTGCTCTCCCCTCTCGTTGTATTTCAGAAAAAGGGAGCGGGGAAGGAAGAGGACAAGCTTGGGTTTGGGGAAGGTCGCAGCCGGGCCGCGGTTTGACATTGCGGAGGGGAGCGGCGGCGCTGCGGGGGCAGCGGGAACGCTCGGAGTCAGTGTCACGTATTTTATACATTTTTTTGAAAGGTTTCAGTGAAACTAGCAGTTCTATTTGTGTTTCGCTCCTTCCAGCCCAAGGAACAACCCCACGCATCCACAGGCGAGGATGTTCACGGAGGTGGCAGATGGTTCCTCGCCCGCTGCCCCGTTTGTGTCACGACGGGACCGAGTAGCTCCGCGAAGCGATCGTCCCAATTTAGGGCGCTTCCTCCCAAACGAGCAAACACGATGTGTTCGTTTGTTTGTTTGTTTGATTGTTTGCAAGAATTGAGATGTTTTCCTGCTCGCAATTTGTCTGTGGGCAGAGAAACCCGCTCCCGGCAATCGCCGCCGTGACGTTGAGTCAAGGAAATACTACAGGTGTTACTGCGGTGTTCGGGAATTAATTCTCTTTCCTTTCCCCCTCCTCCTTCTCCGAGTTATTTCCTAGCCTACCCAGATAGCTGGGAAAGGGTCCCATATACCCTGGAGCTGTAAATTGAGCGCTGAAATACTTGATCTCACTGATCTTTGGAGAATTAAATCTGGCCTCATTTTACAGGAGGAAGCGAAGTCAATCTCGGAGGTTTTGCGAAGAAAGGCTGTTATTTCCTAGAGGATAGGCGTTTAAGTTGTTAAATATTAGTTTTTAATTACGTATTGTTCTTTTAAAAAATAATATTTATACTTAGGTCCGTGAAGGTATTCAAATGAATTTTCAAGCCATCAGTTAGTGGAAAATAGCCCATTGTACCAGCGCCCGGCTATGTTTCATCAGCAGACGGCGCTTAAAGTGTACCCCACTGTCCCCCGGACAGCAGCACCGGGCCCGGGGCTTCACAGGCGGGCCGGGAGCCAGCGGTGACTCGGAGGGGCACCGCTGTCACAAACCTGGGCTGGGGGCACGGCAGGGTCGTGCAAAGCCACAGAGCGAAGCCACGAAAGGGCAAGAACTAATGATAATGAATAAAAAATTCGGGATTAAACGTACCCGCGATCCCCGCGGTGATTTACGAGCTGTCCCCAGCAGGTCCCCGAGGTCCGGGCAGGGACCTGGTGGCGGGGTGACCGCGGATGCTGCAGCCCTTGCGGGGCGTCGTGTGCGGCCGAGCTGGAGCCCAGCCGGGCTGCGGGGCCGGGATGTGCGTGAGCAATGCGGGGCTGGAGCGGGGACCCCCGGATTAACCCCTTATTCCCCGCAGCGCATCCCCCCCGCTCCCCAGCCCCGCCGGCGCTGCCCGGGGCGCAGGAACCGCGGCCGTCTGCGAACACCTTCAACAGGAGAAGGTGTTCAACAGCCGCCAGCAGACGAGGCCATTTTGCACAACGGAGCGATTTGAGCT